AATACAGCTATTCCATATTTGTGCACGTTATGTATTTGATTCGCAACGCCTCCACTTATCACCAAATCAATCATACTAAGAAAACGATACAAAGAAAAATAGCTGCAAAAAAGACTTAGCACTGGTTATGTTGTGGCTTTAAAACTGATTTGTTTTGTTCCCTTCTAAAACAAAGTTTGTGAATTCAGTTAAATAAAAGTTTTTTTAAAAGTTGAAACATTAGTGAAGGGGTTTATGTTAAATAAACCTTTGGGTTAAGTTGTCGCAAACAAGTTTTTCTTGTGTTTCTTGTGAATTTGGTCTAAAATTTTTTATTTCAAGTGGCATTAAAAAGTCTTGAATTTAACTCGCCTTATGCTGTAGGAACCCTGATCCAAGTAGTATGCAGTTCTTCATATATACAAGCACACACATCAATTTCAAACAGATGGTATCGGTATCGTCCAATAATGCACAGCCAGGTATCGGATATCGGTATCAGGGCCAAGAAATGGCATCGGCGCAACACTAATTTATTATACATTGAATATAACATTGCCTTCCATCAGCAATATATCTTAAATGCAATACTTCAGATTGCCGAGCTCAAAAACTACAATGTTTAGCTTTTTTTTTTTTTTATTTAGGTAAATTACCAGATCCATGTTTCAATTTCCAAGCTTAATAAAAAGTCGCATTGTCTTTAAAGCCTAACAGTGAAAAAAGCCTTCACCCCTTGCATACCCACTGGAGAGAATTGTAAACCTTATTAAACTGGAACCATGTAAACATCTGTCTTATCAGCCTGAAGAAAGAAAAGGCCATGCTTCCTGTTCTTGGCTTTTCTGCCTAGAACTTAATTCCATTCTCCTCTCTGTCAGAAAAGAAAAGATTTGGTGTTGGAGATGAAGAGAATGTGAAGGAGGAGAAGAGAAACAGTGAGCGGCTGCAGCCTCACTCTTGTGAATACCGATTTGGCTACTGCTCACCTCTGGGACACTTGCAGCAAGCCAATTACCAAGCCTTAGTCACAGTGAGAGAAAGGCAGAAACACCGACTGACTGAAGCCAATGATACGTTCCAACCCCAGCGCTACTTTCAGATGCATTGCCTCACAATCTAACAGAGGCTAGCCTTTAGGTTTCTGGTGTTGCTCACCTCTTAGCTGCCCTGCAGAAACCTTGATTCCATAAAATACTACAGGCTATGAGTGCAAAAGCAGAAAGGGAAAGAAGAAAGGGGATAAAAGCGGTTGCTAAATAATCCCATTTAACTCTGAAATGTGCTCTGGTGCTTTTATTGTCGACTCACAGAAAGCAGGCCTGTGCCAGCCGAGTGTGGGCTGAATCGGTAAATAGAGTAAGCAGAGAAGGAGACAGACATGTTTTGAAATAAGGCTTGAAAGGCAGCCCAGTTTGCAGCTTAGGGAATTGCTAAATGTCTGCTGGGAAAGATGGAAAAAGAGAGAGATAGAGACTGAGAGACGTGGGGGAAAGGGGAGATGAAAGAATGAAGAGAAGTCAAGTGGAGAGAGGGAGGGAGCAGAGCTGGCAGTGTTATGACAAATACAGCATAAGGAGAGACAAGGAAACAGATGCAGGTGTATCCGAGTACATCAGAGTGGGAAAGTAGAAGAAACAAAGATGGAGGAAAGGAAAGGGAAAAGTCTTTTTTTCTTAAAAGCGGCGGCGTGAAATCTAGCCTGAGGGAAGAGTTTTCCTCAGCCACTGCTGCAGTTTTACAGTAGGCAAAGGTAGAGTCCTAACTTGAAATGCTTTGTATCTTCCTTTTTATCCTTCTGCCATTTTTTAAAACAACAATTAAATAATCCAAGAACTGAAATAGCTTAATCTGAGCCGTGGTAATACTTAAGAGGTTTCAGAGATTTGTATGTGTTTCCATGTTGATAGAAAATGTCTTTGTTTTTTAGCTGAGGCAGACCTTGATGCTGTCTGTGAAGCCTGTCTGCCCTACCTGAGCTGCAGGCAGCCCATCAAACTGCAAGAAGCTTGTCTAAGGTAAGACTTCCTCGCTTTCTGTAGAAAGATTGTCTATTCTTACTCTGGGACGTTTTGATTCATAACCAACATAAAATTTGAGGGTTTTTTTAGAGCAAGGAGAATCGCTTCACTATCTCAAAGGTCCCCATAATACCTAAACTAAAGCCCCTATTCCATGATAAGCTCACATGGAGATATTGCAGATGCAGAGTGTGAGCCAAAAGGAGAAGAAGGAGGTGGGAAGACATATTATCTGCCAACGATCATAATGAGCTGAATGAGTAAATAAACTAATACGGCCCCTGCACGAGAATCTGGAATGCATTATATATGTTTAACAGAGACCTGGCTGCATCATCTTATCACAAACTCCAACATCGCTCTGTTGTGCTTTCTGACCTTACAAGTAGTCAGAGATATAAGAAAAATGGGTGAAAGCATAGAGGAAGGCTAGGCAGTACTGAAGCAAGAACTCCTCTCTGCAAACCAGATATATCACTTTATTTATTTGGTATTTAAACTCCTTGAAATAAGTTAACCTGTAATGAGAACTATGATAAGAAAGGGAACAAAAGACCATCTATCTGTCTTTGGAGGATGTATTTTTTAGCACCCCTAGTTCTCTCATTTTTATTCCAAATACAATTTATAATTTGAATCACAGGGCTATTTTTATCTCTATGGTTCAGTATTTTCTCAAGTAGCAACTTTAACTGTTATACTTTCCTGTCTTAAAAAGCAGAACTCTTCTAGTCTAAAAAAAAACTCATTTGTTGAAATGGGGGGGCCTATTGTTTGAACCCCTTAGGGGCTTTTAAAAACAAAAATGTCTTTTGCACTTTATGAAACAAAGTACCCTATATTTTGTGGATGTACAGCTACATTTCTCATGTAAGTTTGCGTAGTTTTAACACAAACATTTATTTTTCATATTGCACCAGTACAGTTAATGATCAACCTGTACTTGTGTGCTTGTTTGTTCTGTCTAAGATGTTTATTTTGGAATAAAGAGGTTAATATAAAAAATCGAAAAAGTAATCGGCCGATTCATCGTTTTTTTAAATAATCGTTAGTTGCAGCCCTAGACATAATACTCTGAAAACTTTTTTCCCCAAGACAGACCGACCATACAAGGTTTAATAGATTTCTTTAAGCTTTGATGGGTTTTTTTTGTTCAGTTTTTTTCAGTCCTACAATTTAAGTCATCGTCTTTGAAATGCAGCAAAGATCAAATAAAAAACTGAACTTTTGTTTAACAAATATAGACATGTTAGACATCATTAGAAAGCTTAGATTCTCCACAATTCAACCTCCAAGTTCATTTTATGGACACAGCGAGCACCAAAGCACAATTAACACAGATATAGCAGCATTGTAAAACAAAGGAGCTGCAACAACATACTGCACCTTTGAAGATGTCCAGAAGCCGTATTATAAATCCAGTCTTCAGTCATCTTGTTTATACTCCATTTGGTCCACAGATTAAAAATAATCCAGCGTATAAGTAAAAACATTCCATGATGAAAAAATCACCACATAAAGTCAGGTTTTTTTACCATCAGAAAAGTTTGATTCTTAAAGCTAATGCTTACCTAAGTCTTGCTATTTACCCTATTTTCCCCAAACAGATCCACACAGTGTTGGGTATGTTTGTTTTCCTCTCCTTCCAGCCAACGGCGTCCCATTTTGGGATTTTTTGGGACCCCAGGACAGCCCTAGAAGTGTCGAAGCGATTCTCTCAGCTGCCGTTTTAAACATTACTCACCTCATATTATTCCTCATAAAGTCCGGCTGCTATTGGTTAAGACCAGATTCAATGTTTGGCTCTCTAGCCAATGAAATGACCTTTAAAACAGGGCTAAACATGGCTAATTTGAATAGTGCAGCCAAGATATATAGGCGGGTATAAAGGCACAGAGGCAGATCCGATCCTGGATCATTGCACACTGTTAGATAATTAGTTTGAAAAATGAAATAATATTTCCTTTAAAAATGTTTAGTGGCAATTAAAATACTTCAGTGTGATTTTTGGGATAAAACTGTTTTATAAAAGCAATAAGCACAATTGGTAATAATTTGGCATATTTGGATAGGTTTGGAGATGCTGATGACTCCGGAAGTTAAAAGTCCCATATCTCTAGAACTGTTGTTGACATAATGCAGAATAAATGTAAAAAAATGAAACATGCCTATTCTCAAGCATGTCTTTGTTACTGCTATTCAAAAAAAGACCTGTTAATTCCGAGAAGAAAAACCCCAACTTTGAATCATGATTGAACTGATGCAGTTTAGTTCTGTCACGTGGTTTTTATATTTTCAGAAACTAGAAGGTTATAGCTTTCAAATGATGCATCACACATGTAATTTGGGCTTACAGTTATTTTTTTTCCCATTTGGGTATGCAGAAAAGTGAGGATTACTTAAAATTAGGTGGACATTTAATTATCTGAATAATGTTTTGTCTTTACCAATCTCAGGCTAAAGGGACAGCATTTTGCGACTTTTGCAGTCCCATCATCATCATCACTATTGAATCATTTACATATTTTTTATTTTGAAAAATTCCCACTACAAAGCTGTTTATAAGCTGTAAAAATAAATGTAAAATGTATGTAAACATTTTTTTTTCTCCTTCACAGCGTTTTTCGACACTTAATCCAGGTGGATCCAGATACCTTTTGGTTAACGTTAAATGAGATCCACTGCCCTTCTTCCTACACCCCGCCGCACCCTGATCTCCAGCCTCTGCAGCTGAGCGGGATGGGCAAGCCAAGAGATGAGTACTCAGACAACGTGCTGAAGCTGCTGAGGGAAGAGTTTGGCTCAGACTCTGACAGATAACCAGCTAATCCAGTATAAAGTTATTTATTGTGCAAACATATTTATGTATTGTATATACATTTGAAGTCAGAGAAAAATGCCTAACTGCAGTTGCTGATTATTTTCTGTCTTTCATAAATGTGAAATAAATGTCACACTCCTTCAGAGTTTTAAATAATTCACAAAGGATGTTCTATCTCACCTTAACCTTAGACATTGGCTCCAATTGATTCAAACCATACTTTCACACAGCTTTAAATGCAAAGAATGAGTTCTTTTCTCTATCAATACCAGGCACAATGTTTATTTTCAGTCCAGGTATAAAAATGTATGTCCTGCAAGTCACAATGTAAAGCTCATGCTTTAATATGGCTCCTCTACTTAGTCCAACAGAAGCAAATCAAATAAACATACCTGTGCTAACAAATACTGCTTTAAGGGCTCATTATACTTGTCGCACATACAATCCACATGAAAAATTAGCAATTCTTGTTTGCTGCATTTGTACCTGTCCTCAGGATTCCAAGCTCTATACCCTAATGATGACCAAGGCTGTACCCATTTGTACCTTTGTAAAATGTATATATAAATCCCTTTATTGTCACACAATGGGGAAATTCATTCTCTGGGGGCTGCCATCTAAAATGTTCTTGCTCATGTGGTCATTTCATTAGTCCTTTATAGCCCCATTTAAACTACCCTATGAAAACCAATTTGTGCCGAGCTTGGTTCCTTATTACCATTTACACACCATGCTAGCATGTTTCTTCGCCTCTGAGTGGCGATCTATGGTACTACTGCTCTCCAGAGGTAAACAGGCAAATCAGCATGGCGGCACCCATAACATTCAGGAAGATATGTTTTGTTAACATTGTGATATTTCTTTGTTTGAGAAGGGTCAGGCTATGAAGGCAGCCTTTGGTGAATTTACTTGACAAGAGTCGGCTTTTGGGAAGTGGATACAACAAACAATAGTCTAATCCGGCTTACAGACGCAGGAAACAACGGACTTTGAGGCTCATCACACTGCTAAGCACAATCATCACTGGAAATCGTGTGGGGCGGTAGGGAAGCTAGTATTTTTATGAATGTCTGAAGTTTGTCTGAAGTTTTTGGTTGATTAAGGAAACTGACTGTAAACTATTAGTGCGGTTCGGTTGTGTCTGGCATGGTCCGGTTCAGTTGTGCGTGCCACTTACACTCAACAGTTATCTCGGTTACCGTGCTTGGATCGATCTCGACACGGTTTCAAAAAGATAGTGTAAATAGGGCTTATGTCATAAACTTTCAACCTAATCTCCAGTGATTTGTCTTTGTCTGGATAAAGGACAGAAAATGCAGGGCTATTTTTGGCATAAGCAACAAAACCCCTTTGTCACTACATGAATCTACCACGTTTTGTGATGTTTGTTTGCATTACCTTTAGACACAAAGACCTGGGTAAATTCTCAGTCATCTGGATCGTGCCAACCACAAATCAGGCCTAAATCAGAGCGAACTGGACTTTCTGTCAGTTCTGAGAACGTTTTGACACCTATCCTTTATCCTTTGTCAGTTGTCATCTAGAACTTTGGTGCCAAAGCCTATTGTGTGGTTTTAATGTTTAAAGGTCTCACTTCTTCGCAGTTAACATGTAATACGGCGTCTGCCCAACATATTTGTAACGTCTGTTGTTTATAATAGCAGCATAAGCTCATAACCCATTTGGCAGTTTAATTAACAAAGATCTTGCCATTCCAAACACAATTCCCCAGGTTCTCTTAGCAGTCCCATTTCGATTGGGAAAGCTCAAAGTTCAGCAAATCGGGGGCTAAAGTTTCAGTGACTTAAACTCTTAAATGGAAACTCTTATTCCATAACCTGATCTTTTACATTAGATTTTTCCTTGAGGTGGAAAATTATCAATGAACGCAGCTGTCTTTTAATGCAGTTTTGCTCTATAAAACATAAAGTATACCTTAAACTATCTTAATTTTTGAAATTGTTTTGTCATTTTTTAAAGCAGAAATTAATGGTATTTTTCTCTGACTCAAGTTAAATTATAGTACATGAATATGTTTGTATCAGAGGTAACCAATAAAGGAGCTGCTAATTGTTGAGAAGGATTCAGTCTATTACAGCACTGCCTGCAAATAATAAACTGGAAAATGAGTCTGATACCTTTTCTGAATGTCTGTGTTTAACGTCATGGTGTCCAAACCAGGAGAAAAACTGGTCCCTCTTTAACTCTGGTATGATGCTGCATTTCCATCTGTCCTTCTGGACAGGTGCATGTTGTAAATACAAATTTGATTTTCATGTTGTTTCTTTATTGTTAAAAGAAGTGACTGAACAACCCTGCTTGGTTTAAATAAAGCATTATTTGACAACATTATTTGAAGCTGTGGTCAATGTCTTGCTTTGTGTGTGTAAAATTCCAATAACGTCTTTATTTTGTTGGCTTTTAAGTAAATGTTTTAATTATTCCAGTTGGTAATGTTTTATTGGGCACTTCTCTCCCTAAAAGGCTGAGGATTTATCATTGAAATGTTGGTGAAAAGTTTTATCTGTATCCCAGCTGAAGGTCTATATTTATCTAATATTAACATATTCCCCATATTCCCAGATCCAATTCAATTCAGTTTATTTATATTAATTCACAACAAATCTCAAGGCACTTTAAAGTTCACCAGATCATACAGTCAAATTGATTCAAAGTTTTCTATCTAAGGAAAACTAGTTGATTGCATTGACTCATTGACTCAAAGGCATTCCCTCACACTAAGCATGGTTGTAGCGACAGTGGAGAGGAAAAACTCCCTTTTAACAGGAAGGAACCTCCAGCAGAACCAGGCTCAGTGTGAGCGGCCATCTGCTGAGGTCGACTGGGGTTCAAGGAGACAGAAGCAGAGATACAAAAAGCAACTGTAAAAGGCGGCCCCATCCAGGAAGCAAAAAGCCAGGCACACAAGCTCCGAGCCGGCTCCCATGTCAGAGGATGAAAGAGAGCACATCCAGTCAGTCACAACCAGAGAAACAGGACTTCACTGGAAAAACAGGCCGATCACCATCATCTATAAACAAAGGTGTCCATGGCAGCAGCACAGCTGATGTTTCTATCCAGGATGGTGTCACAGCCAAACAGGAGCCGACGAGGTGAAGCTATACTTTATCTATATAGCTACTATCCAAGACCATAAAAAATACAGGGTCCTAGTCTATTTCTTGTAAAATAAGTACCAACTATGGCAAGTAAAGTATTCTACAATCCATCAATGTTTGAGGGATATTTTGGTAAGTTAAGATATCAAACTGTTAATCTATATCAGTAATGAAATAAAATCATTTATATTGATAAGTAAATCAAGAGTTTGTTCATGATTTGACTTTTACCTTCACTTTTACACAGTGTCTCAAAGAACTTTTGCAGATAAAAGAAATTGTTCTTCCACTGTCACCCTCCAGGCTTACAATATGGCCTCGATTTTATTTAAACCAACTCTAAGTAACTTAACTTTTGTGAATATACATGGACGTATAACTAGTTGACACCTGTGTCGTGGACCAAGACTGTATCGCTTTCACCGGGACTATGCAACTTTGAGGAGGGAGGCAGTAACCCTGCCACACAGATTAACTGCAAACGTGCAGACTGGTTTACTGCATACGTCACTTCCCCCTTTCTTGTTATTAAGAAAGGATTCAATGAGACAAAATTTCTCTGAGAGACTATATTTGTGCAGCTCCTTCCTGCTGGGATCTATATGTGTGTTTACTGTGAAATTATCAAACATAACTATATCGGTTTCAAAGCTTTAAGCTTGTCAGCACATCAGTCGCTGAGAAGTCATTACCTCATTGCTATTCCTCTTTCACAGCCACTAGAAACAGAAATGTAGTTCAATCCAACTACAGGCGATCAGGATGTTCCCTCTCTCTGGTCCTCATGGGAAATGCTGTCTTCCTTCAGGCAGAACAATACAGCTTTTGTCCCTGGGGAGGCCAAAATTGACCAAAACTGAAAGTTTTTCCTGTTAAAAGAGAGTTTTCCCTCTTCATTTTTGCTGCATGCATGCTGGATGTGAAGGATTTCTGTAGTCAATGACTTGATGTAATCTATTAGTTTTCATTAGAGCAGGAACCTATGGCTCAGGAGCCGCAAGTGGCTCTTTAGACACTCAACAAAGGCTCTTCATCACGTTGGCTGATTACTTGAATGATAGATATACTAAAAAAATTATTTAGCATTTCCCTTACTGTCTAATTGTATTCCATTTCAAAAAACAGAATATTATTTTTAAACTCTTTTAAGTGGAAAAACTTTTTTCAACATGATTTCAAAAATATCAGCAGCCAATTGAAAAATGCATTTATTCTGGTTTGGCAAGTTTTTTTCCCCTTAATTTTAAAACCTAACATTTTAAATGATACAATGGTTGTTTCAAAATTACAAATCTTCTGAGGTTCAAATTTCTGAAATATAAGTTATCTTTTTCTTGTTGTAAAGAAGAAAATCATACAATATTTTGTGGCTCTAAACAAGTTTTTTTAGCTGGACAAAAGTCCAAGCTGGCTCTTTGGATTTTAAAGGTTGCAGACCCCTGTATTACAGAGAAAATGTTGAATTAAACTAACTCTGTAAACTACATTTAGACAAAACATGTTTTAAATTGGGGCTGTAAAAATAAACTGAATTGAATAATGGGCACCATGTAGCTCAGACATTACAACGATCACAAATAGGAGTACATATTACACTACATATTACAGTTGGTCTGAGCTTAATTCTGATAATTAAGGTCAAACTGAGAGATTCTTTACTAAAACTACTCATGAAACATGTCTGTGTCTTTAAGTTATTCAGTTGGTAAACTTAAATATTCACAGCCTCCTGCATCACCAAGAGCAGACAGATCAGAGGTCACCAAGCTTTTTTAAGGCTGCAGGCTACTTCATGGTCACTGAGTCATTGGAAGGGTTACCAACACTGACCTGTGAGCTGGAAAGGTCGGTGTTAATCTATACTTCATGCATAATAAACA